ATTGATGTGTTGACTTGATATCTATCGGAATTATTTGTGATAGTATTGCTTGTGATAGTAACCTTATTTGTGACTCGTGGCAGTAGTTGTTTTATGAACTTGAATAGTGTATCTTTGCCTTAACAGTGACTTTTAATTAAGGTTTATTGCTTTACATAATAAGAATAATAATAATGAGTATAATAAATTCCAACATCTACTGCGTGTTTTAAATGCAAAAATAAGTACCAATATTTGAAAATCCATAATGTTTTAGTACAGTACATGTACATGTATTATTATTATTTATTTATTTATTTATTATTATTATAAACGAACACAATAACAACAACAGCAATAACAAAAAAGCAAAAAATAAAGAAAAATAAACAAAAAAGGACAACATTATTATTATTTTTTTAAATTTTATGATAGACCAAAAAGGGAGGGCCTGCTCCTGGCCCCTTCCTAATATCCGGATCAAGAGATAAAACCATCAGACTGTGGGACGTCTCGACTGCTGTCTGCTTACAAGTCCTGGTAAGCCACACCCTTCAGTCACGCCCACCAAAAGCTTGCCATCATAACAAATACCTCGTAAAAGATTTTGATCAATTTTTGAATGGACACCCACATAAATTTACTCTCAAATTAAATATAAACTGAATGTTAAATACGAATATCTTATCTCCTAGATTGGCCATGATAATTGGGTGAGGGGCCTCATGTTCCATCCTGGAGGAGGGAAGAGTATCATTAGTTGTTCTGACGACAAGACCATACGGATATGGGACTACAAGAACCAGAGATGTGCTAAGACTGTAGAGGCACACGGCCATTTTGTTACAACAATCGGTAAGAGAGAGTTATACAGTCAAACTTAAATTGTCTATTTCGGACACTTTGGGACCCAATAATACCCTAGCTCCTGATTATGAACCTGTCCTTATTTCAGAGGTTCATTAATACACATTACTATTGTATTGGGACTGATACTACCCCTCCTCATTATAGAGGTGTCCTTATTTTAGAGTGTCCACAATAGCAGGAGGTTATGCTGTATGGTGTTTAAAGATTGGATGTTGAATTTTTGTTTGCTTTTACTTGTCATGTAGATAATGTATAATTCTGCTCTCTCTCCCTCTCCACAGATTTTCATAAATCAGCTCCATACGTTGTGACTGGTAGTGTAGATCAGACTATTAAAATATGGGAGTGTCGTTAAATAGCCACGCCCTCTA